AAGAACAATTAATGTTCGAGAATATTTTCTTCAAGATATTATTCAATTACTCAGTTTTCAACCAATCAATGCAATATCAAAAAGTCAAAAACAAATTAATAAAAATCGAAAATTACAACATGATGATAATGGTTATCATCAACGACATAAACATTCATAATGATTATTTACAAAAACTACATAACTCTTTATTTATTAGTCAGGTTGTGCACAATCACATGTCTAAAGATTGAAAATATAGTACTCTGTTAATCTTCATAAAAAAAAGTTGTTCCACCATTTATCAACATATTTTCAAAAGCTACACAACAGAGGTCCGAATGGGCTAGGCAGGGCCAAAGAATGTCGACCCATGGGTTACCCATCTAGTTAAACATAATTCATGAAATTGTTTCACTCGCTGTTTTGGTAAATTATCTATTGTCACTAACTATTCTTTTATTTTATAATGTTTAATATCAGTGTACATCGAGGGATGTTATTTCAGAAGAAGTGTGACCCGTTCAAAACAGATTTTATTTAACCCTTTAGTGCCGGGCGTGGTATATATATATATCACCTCAGATTTTGAGAAATACTCGAAATAGTATTTATACCACTCCAGCCGCCAAAGGGTTAAAGTAATAAATAATAATTTATTCAGCAATCTACACAAAGCTTGTTAATGTCCTCTATGGACAACGGGTAATGTTATCGTATTTATCCAAAAGCCTAACTAGAAAACTTTATTTTTTCAAAAAAAAACCCGGCACCAAAGAGTTAATCTGGTATCTTGAAAAAAAGTTATTAAATCCTACTTCATCTTCGTGTTTCAATCATTTAATTGGTAAAAATAAGACAATTTTCAGCAATTATGGAAGAGGAATCTTATCTTGGACGCCTCTTGATCGACTCAACCCTAGGGTATGCCGAATCAGTAGCAATAGCGGAAGGACAGATAATGGTAAAAATTGATAATTGAGAAAGATAAGTAGGAATAGAAGTAGGTTTTAAAAAGATAACTGATGATCATGCAGTTATCGGTGAAAGGAAAGAACAACGTAATGATATTTTTTTTTGGAATAAAACAAAGTATTGTAAAGTGAAATAAAAGGACTAAACGAGATATTTCGAGAGGAGAAATCTCACAGTGATAATACGCTTTGTTTTCTGAGAAATTTTATTTTTAATCCAAGTCAAAATTATACCCATGGGTACCTATTAAAAATTCGGATCGGTCCGGCCCATCCATGGTTTTTTGTCAGAAAATAAAAGAAGAGTTGTGAAACACAAAAGAAATAAGATACCATACTGTTTGGAGTACACATAATTCTTTAGTTTTGACTTTTTCTATTTCTTGACTGTTTTATGACATCATATAATTATTCGATCTGAAAAAATAGTCCACATACTCTGCTTGATCTTCTAGCTTGTGTGAATAGTTTATATTCATTTAGGACTTTAACAAAAATAAAAGCGCATAGGAAGAAACTTATATCAACTTCTAGAAAAGCTTATCTAATGTATGCCAGATCGAGACAAATTTTAATATCTCGAAAATATTTTGCTTTACTGTATTTTACCATTATGACCAGCTGGTAATTCATTTTTCCATAGAAAGAGAGGATATACCCCCGACAAAAGTAAATATTGAATGGCTTTTAAACAGATGTTATCTGTCATGCAATTTATAATAAATAATGTTCTTCTCATGCAGGATTAGTAATGAATTAATTGATTGAAACATCACTTTCACTTGGATTAATGGAAGTAAAAAAAATTAATTCAATATGAGTAGAGTTGTATGCGTACAAAAGAACTTACATACGGGCCGTATCACTGGTCACGATATCTTTTGCTCGACAAAATTGTGGAGAAATAAAGTGACAATGACATAAATATCTACTTTATGTTGCTGTATCGAAACTCTTTCTCTATAATTTGCTTTCTCAGTCGAGTTGGTTTATATAATTATTAATACAAACAATTCAAAACTGAGTGTTTATAGCAATCATACGCATTATGTGGCATGAGTGATACCCATTTCTGACACATTTCCCACTATTAAAGTCTGAGTTAGCTCTTGCTGATGGTCACTATGAATAGCAAAAGCAAAACCAAACATTTAAAGTAGACTTTCATTCTGTAGCTCCTGTTTTGTTGGTGAAATTGCATCTATTTTAACAACTACTTAGACATTATTTCTCTTTTCTACAATATTTTATATTAGGTTGTATTATTTTCTTTGGTATGACCGAGAATGACCGAACATATGATGTATTGGTATTATCTGACAATGTTTTTATATATTGTAGAAATAATTTTTTCAACTGATTCATAATTTAGTTGTAAATGATATTCTCGAAATATTGAAAATATAATCAATCGATTCCACACAATCATTTTCTAATACCAAAGATGCATTGACAATATTTTAACTAAATTGTCCCACTTTATTACCAATTAAAGAACAAAATCATATGCCAAAATATCAAGCAGAAGTTCCGACATCTGAATTGATATAGAAAGTAGTTTAAAATATTTTATTGATATTTTAAAATTAAATAGAATCTGTGCTACTGATTTCATGGAGAACTTCGGTACGTTTTCGTCACTAGAAAAATAATTACTACAATGTGAAAATAATACGATACAAAGTTAGCAGTACAACTTAACGATAGAAAAACCTGCTAGATACGGATGGTGAGAAAAGTCTTCTGAAGAGACTACACTTTCAAAAGAAATATGTTTGCTCAATGTATTTATGTAAAATCTTGTGCGTCCATGACTAGAATAACAGTATAATTATTGACGTTGTTCTATGCAAGAAACTAAAGCATGATATTACCTATGTATGAATCATAAAATAAATCTGCTTTTGTGCATTCATCTATATACGTACAATAGCACATGATTATATATTATTGAGATATCTTTTGTTTTCACACCTACATTATCGTTGTTTAGCTTGTTCTCTTACTCATCGATTGAATAGATTAATCGACGAAGTGAGAGTATAAATCGATGGTTGAAAAAAATGTCCACTATATCACGACTTAACTTAGTTTTTTTGACATCATTGTACAGAATAGATAAAATATTAATGCTTCACCAGCAATAGAATACTGCTAAATATCGCTGATCCTATTAGAACCAAGCATTGAACGTTCCTTCTACATATGAGAAGAGACAATCATTTTTGATACTAATACCGAGAGTGATTCGCGCCCAATACCATGCTTCTCATCAAAGATCAAGATCTGGATGCAGTCTTGGTCTTAGTACTAACATCAATTCTCGTCCAGAATCGTTCCCGATTTTCGCAGAAATCCAGAACTTAGTTTCAGTATCTGCCTCGGTCATCATATTTGTTCGTGTTTCCATCTCCGTCCCCGAGTTTGTCTTCGTTCCAATTACGATTTGTATTCCAGTTTTAGGTTTTGTCTATGTCGCGGTTCAAGTTATCGTTCTGCTACCAATTGCAGTGAGCCATCGAGCTCAGATGCAACATAAAGTTGCAGTCGCGTCGTCAGCTACATTATCAACTTCAGTCCTGATCCCAAGGTCTATCATGCTGCATATCTTTAATGCGAAATCTCCCAGACCCTACTTCTCATTCAGATTTCAGACTCAGTCCTGCATCCATCCCGAAGTTTTTCACGGACTGGCGCTTGTCTGCATTTAATTTGAGGTACAATTATCGGCTTTAGCTTGGGCCTCAGCTTCAGAATGGATTCAGAGTTTAGCCACTTTCTTAGTTAAAATTTCGCCTTCCGAGGTGACCACACTGCTCGTAACCAGTGTGCTTCGAGACAGCTACTCTAGCTAGACCTAGGTACCATCAGGGTTCCAGTGAAGTTTTCCAAAGTTGCGGAGGATTCTGCTGCGAGCGACTTATCTGTCACAGCTTGTGCATCACTTGGATGCTTTGTTCCGGCAACGACCTCATTTCTCATTACAGTCTCGGCTTCAGACTCGATTCAAAGGCCAATCGTGGTAGTAGTATTCAACACGGCTTTTTCCAGGGTCTGCTTCCCGTTCGAGTTTCAGACCCGGTTTCGCAACTGATGCAGCGTTTATTATTCTAATGTTCAACATGTTAAACTATTTAACATAGAAAATGTTTTATTTATTTGTTGCAATTCTGAGGAATAATTGATGTAACCTTATTCCATCGGTACTTTTATGATTCTTCAATTAATAAAAATCAAACGAAGAACAATTAATGTTCGAGAATGTTTTCTTCAAGATATTGTTCAATTACTCAATTTTCAACCAATCAATCCAATATCAACCAGTCAAAAACAAAAATATCAAGGATCGAAGATTGCAACATGATGATAATGATTACCATCAAGGATATAAACATTCACAAACACATGACATGGCTTTTTAATCAGCTTGTGATACTGAAAAAAGTTGAAGTACCCTAATAAAAGAGTATAAACGAAAGCGAATGAAAACATATATGAAAAGCATTTTTCACATATCTATAATTAGTTTTTTCGATCAACTGAACAAAATATGGGAGAACTATAGTAACAACACTTGTCTTTTATGGCGAGAGAAAGCAATTTTATAATCACTATTATTAACAACTTCATAGCTGCTTGCTTATTAGTTATGTTGAGTGCGACAACATATCTACGGATAGCAAATACAGTACTCTGTTAGTCTTCATCAAAAAGACGCTGCACCATTTACTCATATATTTTCAAAAGCAGTACATTAAAAGGGAAGTTCTGAAGCACAAGCAAAATGAGATGCCATTGTGCTTCGAGTTAACACAATTCTTGAATCTTGATTTTTTTAGTTTCTTCACTGTATTAGGTAGGACGTCATACAATTATTACGTACGTGAAGTTAGCACCAGATTCGAGTAATTTCTGCTCCGATTAATTCAGGAAGCGTTCCAAGGATTCTCATTTATGTTTCAAGTACAATTCAACATGCTCCATCCAATGGTGAACATGAATTGACGATAACTTAAACTACTCGATTATAAGTCGCAAAAATACCGTTTTTTCTCCATTCATCTTAGAGAACTCGAACAGTGATTTCTGCCCCCATTACCTCACGAAGCATTTCAAGTATTCTCATTTGTCTTTTGGCTAGAATTCAACATGCTCTATCCAATCGTGAAAAGTGATTAACAATAGCTTTATCCATTCGATTCTATGTTGCAAAAATGCTCGTTCTTCCCCATGGGCGCTACCGAACCTACAGAGTAATTCCTGCCCATATTGATTCAAAAAGCGTTTCAAGAGTTCATCTTTGTGTTCGAAGTAGAATTCCACACACCCTATCCAAGGATGACGACTGACTGACGATAACTTAATCCATTCCATTACAAGTTCAAAAATACTGAGTTTCTTCCATCACCCCTTGGAAACCAGCAGAGTAATTCCTGCTCACCTTCCGTTACGAAGCGTTCTAAGTATTCTCATTTGTGTTTCAAGCAGAACTGAACATGCTCTATCCAATGGTAAAAAGTGACTAACGATAGCTTAATCCATTCTATTATAAGTTACAAAAATACTCGGTTTTATCATCAGGTATAGGGGATCTGCACACTAATTCCTGCTTCCATTCTTTCAGCAACCGTTCTAGGTGTTCTCATTTGTGTTCAAAGAAGAACTCAACATGCTCTATCCAATGGTAGCATCGGATTCACGATAGCTTAATGCATTCGTGTACAAGTGGGTGTTGGTGTGAGGGTGGGTGTGTGGGGTGTGGGTGTGGGTGTGTGGAGTGTGGTTGTGGGTGTGGTGGGTGTGGGTTTTGTGGGTATTTCAACTCACACCTGCACCCACATCCACACCCCACACCCACCCACACCCCACACCCTCATGATTCCTAGTTCGCCTGATTTCTTTCTTTTCGAGGACGTCATTCGAATCTCAAAACACTTTCTGCTCATTATCGGTAGACATTCGGTTTTGACATTATTCTGTAGATCATTCTTTTCAACTTTTCGATCATGCTCTCTAAAGTAATGCCGTCTGTTTTTTTACCTGGTTCGCACTGAATCAAACGACGCATCTAATGGGAAAACAACGACAAAATACTGGAACGAATTGAAGAAAATCGTAAAAGACCCTCAAGAATAGATATTTTTCGATTCTTTGGAAAAATGTTTTAGTCAATGAAAAATTAATGCATATTTGTCCCAAAACTTTTGCAACAGCCGTCACGAATAAACTAGCGTGATGCTTTTTGAGGGGAAACGAACAATAATGGTGATCCAGTTATTAAAATAGTGAGATATTGTGTTATTTTCTACAAAAGAAGCTTTATTTCATTGGTTTCCTTAATTAAATCGTCTATCTTAGAAGGAAAACAATGTCCCCCGAGAGTGTACCCCGTTCTAATAACGAATGTACCCCAAATGTACCCCATTTGGATTTTCATAAACCCCATTTGTAAAACAAGAAATGGCAGCCCTGATTTGGAGTCCACAGCTCTTGTGACCATGTTCTCCTAATAACGTCAGCTTTAGCATAGACAATATCAGTTGAAGTAAATTATTTCATAAATAGGACTAGAAAAAGTATCACAACAATAATCGCTGCTTGTTTTAACATGTTGTTCAAAAGTTCAAAAGATTGAAAATTTGACTTTCATCTCGACACTACAATTGAGTCATTGTAACGAAAAAGATGTGACGTTGAGGAATGGATAAATAAGAATAATAATTGAAGTTGCTAAGCTCTTGACTTTGTCTTGGCTTCTGTTGATTCCTTCACACTTTCGTTACTTGTCGCTATCACTTGCTCTTTTATTTCAATAATACCACTCTTCTTTAACATACGAAGTTATACACCACTATGTATGTCCCTCACACTTGTATATATGGTTGTTCAATCTTACTCTCACTCTTTACTTTTATCAACTGATATATCCTTCACTCTTCTCTTTCCTCTTTCTCTTTCACCTTCTCGAGGATAGAGAGCAATGTGAATATATACAGGATGTAATATAACGATTGTACAAGCGTTGACAAAGGACAGTGTATAACGGAACAATTACAATTGTATTAAGAATGAACACTGTATAACGGAACAATTACAATGGTATTGAGAGTGAACAATGTATAACAGAACAATTACAATAGTATTGAGAATGAACAGTGTATAACGTAATGATTACAATAGCATTGAGAATGAACAAGTATTGAACACTATGAACAGTACTACGTAAGGATACAAGGTTGACATTATACAATGATGATATGGAGTAAGAGTAAAATAGCGTAGGGATGATGTCACATGCTGGTGATAGCATTTTACATCAGTGTATCTCTTGGCACAGTCATGTGTCTTTAAAGATGGATCACACGTGTGTGTGGGTGTAGGTGCTCACTATAATAGGACAGAGACCAAGATTCATATCAACATCTACATCCACACCCACATCCATACACTCAAGATCTACAAATCCTGAAAGTTTTACCAAAATCTGAGAATTTTGTTGCACACCGTGGGAGAGGCGCAATGGAAATACCTGATACAATTTTCTCCTTTTGGCTTGCGGCCATGAGAGTAGAATAAGCTGACGTGATTGAGTGCATGACTTTAGATATAGAAGCAGTACAGTCACTATTTACGTATTATTAATGGTAAAGCGGTCATGACTAATCAATTATCACCATTGTAAGTGCGCAGAATATGGGTGTGGGTGTGGGTATGGGTGTGAGGTGTAGGTGTGGATACAATAAAGACATCCACACCCCACACCCACCCACACGTGCACGCACACCTCATATCCACATCTCATATCTACACCCACACCTAACATCCACCCAGATCCACATTACAACTAAAGCCTCGACCGCCAATGTGTACACTTTGAGAACTCTCCTCATTCTCTACCAAGGAGAAAAATTTTTTTTTGAAGTACATAAATTATCCACAACCCGCAAAGCAAGTTTAATCAAGGCACATGCTTTCTTTTTCGTAATTTGGCAAACACTTAATCTGTTTTTACATGGCACACTTTCGTGGGATTTTTATTTGCATTGAATAAAATCGACAGTCGAACGGAGAACGATGCGTTGTATCGAGCATCGGTGATTTTTTTCCAACTTCCAAAAAAATACATCACAAGATCAATACTCAGGTAACTTGATAGTGCGTCAGCATGTGTCGATAATAAAGCTGTTGCCTTGCAGATGGCTTTTGCAAAAGCAGAGTTTCGAGACACTTCTATATAGATAAAGAACTAATAATGCGGATGTGTGGGTGTGGATGTGTGGAGTGTGGGGTTTAGTCTTTTGTTCTCGCATATCCACACCCTCTTGTGCTTATCATTCGAACATATACATAAAGTTATATTGAAGTTGTTTTCGCATTGACTTTAATCTTTTCACATATATTTTCGATAATTTTTTATTCGAAGTCTTAACGATCGAGCCCGAACGTGCGCCGTTCGTTTCAGAATCCCAAATCGGAGTTCAGGTTCGATGCATGCCTAATCCTGACCATACGCAATTCCGCGCCCCTGCTTGGAATAGCATAAAGACAAAAATTCACGTTACCGAGTTCTTATCTGTGATAAATAAAGTTGTATGTTGGAAGTTACGTGGAAGAATCTGGGAATTCAAAATGCATGTTCTTGTCTTTCTAAAAATGTGCCGTACTTATGTATTGTGCGCGAATGTGTCGCACTTTTGATGTGTCGTAGTATATCTGTCAACTAATCATTCACCGTTTTGTTTCGCGCATGAAGCTTCATATAACCGAACCGATTCGACGTACTAATTCATACATTTTCGTATAATGTTTTTTATAGATATTTCGCGACCGTTTATTATTCGAGAGTATCTCGAGAGATCGGTAACTAGTCAAGTAGGGACTGCCTCGAAGCGGTTCTATCGAGATCTGAGGATCACAGAATGGCCAGATCTTACGATCTGGTAGTCTTCAGGTACAAGATTAGATACCACTAATCCGAATCAAACTGAAAAAATACCAATAATCTGATTTTCGAAAAACAACATACGTGCCGAAAAATGTGTCGGACGTGTCACACAAGAATGTGGCATAAGTCCGCTGGATGAAATGTGTCGTAGCGAGCTCCCCGTGTAACACTCTAATGTGTCGCAAAACGCGACACATACGACATATTTTAACTTAGTATGTGGCCTTTCTTACGACCTTGATAATTGTTACTGTAAGAGAATTCTTTTCGGTCTTTTAAATTAAATGTAAAGGTAGAAAATAGGACAGAACGCAAAAAAAATATGAGTAGTTGTGAAAGTACACTGTATGTCGTCGTAGAAAGAAACGCAAAGAAGCAAACAATTTTTGCCTTAGTATGCTTACGCTATGCTCTTATCAGCTTTCTCTGTTGCGCAATTTTTGAATTTATTAGAAATATCTGTTTTTAACTATAAAAGCTGAAATTGTGTTTCAATTGAATCTATCCAGAAATCGTGAGTTTATCCAAGTAAAAAAATAAAACTCTCATAAACTTTTGTTCGATTGCTAAATTATGTCTTTATTTGTGGCATATTTTTTGTTAGAATTTTTAGAAAGAATCACCATCGATGAAAAGAAAAGAGTGTGAAGGAGAAGCCGAAAGTGGTACAAAATACGGTAAAAACACTAAAAATGATAACATCGGTAACGGAAAACAAAATCCTGCTGCAAAAAAGATAAAATTATGCACAAATGAAATAGACGGCTTACAAGTTATTAGAGATTTCATCGATAAAGAAGAACGAAAGTTACTGTGGTCCAATATATGTAAAGAAAATTGGAGTAAAGAAATAACTCGAGATACTTTACACTATGGTCAACGATATGATTACAAAACAAGAACATTAGTGAACGATGTAAAAGAAATACCCGAATGGTTGAATGGCATTAAAAAACAAGTAGAAGTACGTGCAAATTTCGAACATCCAATTGATCAAATTATAATTAACAGATATAAAAAAGGACAGGGCATTAGTCCACACATAGATCACAAAGTTCTATTTGGTCCTACTATCGCAACCCTCTCATTGGGAACTGAAGTAAGCATTCTATTTCAATGTGGATCGACATCAAAAAGTGTAAATGCTCCAGAATGCAGTCTTTTAGTGATGAAAGGAGATAGCAGATATCGATGGACACATTCCTTAAAGTTAAATACTGTCGGTGAAAGAATTTCAATTACCTTTCGAACAATTAATAAATCTGTTAAAACGTAGATTTTTGTTATTTTCTTTTTATGCTGTCAAAGTGAAAGCTTGTTCATTATTGTTTTTAATCTTAACTCTTGTTAAAACATTGCTTTAGATGAAAATCTACATCATTTTTTTTTACTTTTCTTCTTGTTTACATTAAAGCAAGAAACATTCACGGTAATATCTATACTAAATTAACTTTATTACAAACATACACCTTCATGCACAGAGAAAAAAGGATTATCATCTAATTCTAACTTCGAAAAAAATGTTAGCTATATAACACAACCTTGGAAAAAACACATTGAAACGGAGATGTTTTCTCCGTTCAAGAAACAATCGGGTGAAACGCCGAATTAAAAAAAGCTAAGTACGTGTATTTCAGAATGTCACACTTTTTTGCGTCATTAACATTTTTGTTTCAAAAAATTGGGGCGGATTGTTTCGCTTCTTCTTCAGAGAAAAAAATCTAAAAAGAATTTGGTGGCGTAAGCAGCAATGGATCAGGAGAGATGGCCCCTCCTAGGAAAATTTTAGAGTGACGGACTCGGTATGTATATGAGTGTGTGGCTTGAAACCAAAACTTACCTCTAAAAAACCATCGCACGACGTTCTTATAGAAAAAATGGCGATTTTTTCAAAATGGGTGTGAGTGAGTGTGAGGATGGAGGTGGATGGGGCTGGGTACAGGGATATCAATGAACAAAAGACCCATATCCACACCCACACCCTCAAGCATGGAATAATAAAGTATGCGAAATGATTTATTAGCCTCGTATACTTTACATGAACTTTTCAAAAATGACGTCTAGGACTTATGTCAATATCATATACTTGTAGACTGTTTATTTTTCTAACGGCTGTTGGACGGGTTTATCATCTTTATGGACTTTGAAAGTTTACGATATTTGCACAAGTCATAAAAAGAGTTTATGGGAAGTCAATGCAAGTTATATGAGATCAATAGAACCTCTTATAAGGATCATTATATTCTATGATCTTTATACAGCCTAGTCAATTTTCATACCAAATGTTGATATGTTTTTGGAAATATGATTGCGTATTTTTCAAGTCATTAGAAAATCATTAGCCCACTTTTTGTTTTGAAATTGAAAGTATTTTGCTTCTAGTAAGATTGTGAATTTTCCTCTCTAAGAACTTGCATTTTTGTCTATATCATAACATATACGGTTTTTCATTAGGCTAGGCTCTACTTTTAATTTTTTTCTGTATGTTTGCAATATCTAACAGTGGACAAGTATTAAAGATATATATATATATATGAAAACAGTGCCATTTGTGCTATGGGTTCGGAAGAAATTGCACTCAACGTATGCTAATAGTAAGGAAATATTTCATCAGTAAACACATTTAAAATAGCATAATAAATTGGCTATTATGTTATGTAATAATGGTATCTAAATCGAGTCCAACATTAAAATCAATCAGAACGGAGCAACAAAAGTGACTTTTAGTGAATTCATAAGTACGAGTCTCCCATTTTTCTCAGTCCCTTATTAAAAAAGATTTCAAAAAAATTCTCAAACAGTTTTTAACATGCTCACCATTATATTAGCTTTTTACTATAGATGTAGCTACATTACAATATTTTTTTGAATGATGGCTTAGATGATACTCTTGAAATATATATCTTTAACCGATTTTTACTACTGTACTCTGCAAGCATATTTAAAAAAATAAAAATGAGGTTCTAATCTATAAAACATCTTTCAATGCGTCATCAGAGTATGACTCAGAATAAATAATAGTTGGAATTTTCCAACCAAAAAAATCTTACGTGGAAAATAGCCATAAAATGACTCTCTCAAACTTTTTTCACTTTCCAACGTGTCTAGGAAGTATCGAGAATCAATAAAACGTAAGTTTCATCTTTGGTTTTGCGTTTGTACTAGCCTAGTGTATCGTCCTTGATGGTCATTGCTTCTTTCTACAACGATGAGTCATTTCATCGATATAACATAAAAGGATTCATTTCAAAGTATGTAAGAATGAGAAAGGAACATGCCACACTGTTAAATATGTCATACGTTTGATAAGTATGGAATAAATTATGCAAAAAAATGATTTTCGGTCATTTACGAAAAGACTCTAAAGTATTCTAAAGAAAGCGGTTTATATAAAATCTATCATGTCGTTTAGTTTTGAAAGATTTGTTTTTAGTATAACTTTTTGTAAAAAGGACCCGGATGATAAGAGACGAAATCTGCCCCTTCCATCAAGATAGCATTTTAAAATTATTATTTTGCACTACGGACCTTCTCTCACATTTTTTCATTTCAGTTTTCTCAAATGACCTCTTACTTTTGGAGATAAACCTACATCTTTATGACCAGGCACGAGATAAAATATGGGCATATTTGAACCGTTGCAGTACATTTTTCTCTGTGACAAGAAAAAAGATTTTTAAAATTCTAATTATATATTTATAATCAGTATTTAGAAGGCTATCATCCTGTATAATTTTTATTTTTTCAAAATTCCTAGTGTTGAAAAAAAAATTCAAACAAAGTCGTTCAAGCAAATATATGTTTAAGATATATGAAATCCTGAGATAACATTATCTCAAAAATAAAAAATAGACTTTCTCCAAAGCTTACTCATATATTGAGCTTTTTTTTGATACCATCACGATTCTAAAATTTTTCCTCCGAAATCTCACTTTATATTTAAATATTTTCAAATGCCACCATATGGTATACAAATCCTGCTCGTGTTGGGCAATTTTAATAATCAACAATTCATTTTTAAACAAAGTACATGGAATATTCAACATGAGCATAAAAATCTGAGCAGAATGACATGTGTTTTATTAAAAAATATTTTTCGTCAATATTACACCCCGTAGATCCACAGACAAAGTTTTTTAATAATATCGCTGGGGGGGGGGGGGAGTACGTGGGTAATTTTGCAAAAAACATTTTTTTAATAAAAGATGTGCCATTCTACTTAGATTTTTATGCCGGTTTCGAATATCACATGTATCTTGTTTAAAAATGAATTGTCGATTATTAAAATTGCCAAATACGAACAGGATTTGTATACAAAATGGTGACATTTGAGAATATTTAAGAGAGAGCCCATGAGCTGATCGAGAATCAGTCCAATATATGAAGCACTCGGTAAAAAAATTTTTTGATTTTTTTTTTTGCCTATTCAACGTATCAATGTCTAAAACTACTGACCTCGAAATTTGAGATTCTAATACATTTCCTTTGAAAACTTAGCTAATAGAGTGTGGGCGTGGGTGAGGGTGTGGATATGGCGGAGGGGTTTATTCATTTTTCGAGTCACATGCACACCCACCCACACCCACACCTAGCCATAAAAGGAGGGAGACAAGCGCATTAATCATGGGAAAATGGAGCAGTCATCCTATTCCACGATGTTGCACATTGCGGAATCAGTTCCCTCCGATTCCCAGAATACCGGAATCATCGAACTAACTCGGCTTATTCGACAAAGATCGCGTTCCCTTAATTGCCTAAATTCCATCTTATCCTCACCATCAACTTGTCTTGTGTAGTTAAAGACAAATATCTGAAACAAACGAGCGATTCCCGAACGGAATTCTGGGAATTAGATCGAAGGGAGATTAGACGGAATCGAACGGAATTCTGGTAATTCCGGAAATTGAGGAACTCGATCGTTGCCAAATAAGCCGAGGTAGCTCAATAATACCAGAATTCCGAAATCGGATAGAACTGATTCCGGGGGCGGAATTGATTCTGCGATGTGCAACATTGCGGAATAGAATGTGTTCTCGAAAAATGATTCATGCTTGGCGTCAGATTTGAGAAAATGAAAATCGCAGACGTAGATTATCGTTGTGCAAATATTTGTATTGAAAACAAGTGGTTTATTTGCTCGGAAGAAAAAATTTCGCCGAAGCAGTCTCAAGAGGCTTTCACTTGTGCTAGCATTGAGAGCAACATTCTATTAGGTTGGCAAGAAAGCTCTGTCGTTTTTTTAAAATTTTTATTGTATTTTTTTTCTTGCAAACATCAAACTACTTTTCAATGATATATGCTCCATCGCTATCTACAACCTGCCGCCAACACTCGGGTAGAGAAAAGATCCCGCGTTCGTAAAAGCCCAGAGACGTTTGGCTGAAAAAGTCAGCCAATTCCGTTTTGAGGTTGTTTTTGTCATCGAACTTTTTCTCACGCAGGTGATTGGAGAGAGATCGAAACAAGTGATAGTCAGTTGGAGCTAAGTCCGGAGAGTAAGATGGATGGGGAATGGTAACCCATCCTAGCTTCAATAATTTTTCGCGGGTCGACTTTGCAACGTGGGGCCTTGTGTTATCATGTGAAAAGTAAACTCGATCTTGCTTGCCCTTGAGTTTTTGCGCAACACGATCCAATTGCTCACAGTAGAGATCGGCGATAACAGTACATCCATCCAGTAGCAGCTCCCAATAGAGAATTCCTTTAACACCCCACTAGACACTCAACATCACTTTCTTCGGATGGAGATCGTTTTTCGGTGTTACTGTACTGGTTTGACCAACGCTAAGCCATTGGTGCTTGCGGGTATAATTAATATAAAGTACCCACTTTTCATCACCAGTAGTGAGATTGCGAAGCCATTCGTAGTTGCGATGAGATGGCAGTAAATCCATACAAACATCAAGTTGGTATTGAAGCTGATGGGCCGATAATTCATGGGGTATCCAAACCCCATATTTCCGCGTGTTTCCTAATTCGTTCAGATATGTTTCCACCGTGGTATGAGAGCAGCTGAGTTGCTCTGCTAAACAGCGTGTCGTCAACCGAGGATCGTCTTCAATGAGTTGTTTTAATCGTTCCAAATCCACTTCGACCGGTCTTCCAGAGCGAGATGAATCGTCCAATTCAAAATTCCCATTGTTCAACCGATTAAACCAACGCTGTGCCGTACGTGTGGAGATAATATCCTGGCCCATTGTCCTACGTATGTTGTTCGTTGCTTCCGTTGCTATATGATCCAGAAGGAATTTATGAAGTAAAAGCACTAGAATCTCTCTCCGAGACAGATTCATTTCTGTTTCACGATCAACATCCATATCGATAGATGTTATATCGTCCGATAGCTATTCATACTACCTTTATATACCCTTAGTATGGAAACTTCCAGAACATTCTCGAACGTTCTATGAAAATTTTAAAAAAAACGACAAAACTTTCTTGCCAACCTAATATTTACAAGCGATTTGATTTTGAAAATATTCTTAGAGAAATATCGAGTATAAAGTGTTTACTTTCGTCTTATTTTGCAGGTCGAGGAATGTCAGACAATCTGACAAGACACCCGCAAGAAAGATGGACCAAAGAACGATATGAGTATCTGATGTGCCCTCTTTGTCATTCACCACTTGATTCATGCATACAATTGCATTGTTGCGGCATGAGGGTCTGTGAAACCTGTATCCCTATCATCAAGTACTACGTTTAAATCTATTATTTGACTAAATTTTCTACTCATTTATTCTCCTAGGAATGGTGGCTTTAAATGTCCATTATGTTATGCTTTCCCTGTTGACGTATGAGGGAAAAAAAGAAAATTTATTCGATTAAATTTAAGGCTAGATTCTATGTTTAGGGCGATCCGGATAAGGGGTTCATGCGTGAAAATAAAAATATAGAAGTAAATTGTCCCGAATGCGGCAATTCATGGATCGGTTCGTTAAGCACTTTAAGGGTAAAGTTATTTTGTTGAAATTTTTTTTTGCTTGCACTAATTTTTGTCTGCTAGGAACATCTTAAGACGCACTGTACACTCAAATGTAACAACTGCAATGAAGAGTTCAGGCTTGAAGTTCAACTAGAAACTCATCAACGTGAGAGGTGCCAGTATCGTGTTGTCCCTTGTCAACTTGCATTTCTCGGGTGCTCGAATGGGGTTAGTGAATATTTTGAAAGTTCCTTTCCATAGAGCATCACGAAGAAATTTTTTAGTTCAAAAAGCAACATTGATAATGTAAAGTAGTTGTCCATCCACCTAAACGTTAGAAATATAAAGGAAATGATAAAGTAATGGTTTCAGTCAAGGTCATAATTATTTGTTCGCCTTCAAATGAAGAAAATTATACGAGAAGATAATAATATTACCTTTGAAACGCCTTCAAATCATAGATGTTTATATTGGTGGCAGAGATGCCCATCGCGGCAGCGACAGTGGCAGATTTTGTTTTTAAATCATCGCGACAGTAGCACGGTAATGGCAGGTTTTTTAAAAAAACATCGCGACAGTGACAGGACTTTTTTTGGAGGACATTAAAAAACTGCATGAATTTAAAAGAATTTCAGGGTTTACAAATGAACCACTCCGAGGTTGAATCACTCTGATGGACTAGTACCAATATCTCTGGTCAAATATAGTCGCAGCAGTGAAATTAGAAATACTTTTTTGAAAATCCCCGCGGCAGATTTTCAGCCGCGATGGACATCTCTGATTGGTGGTGCCTTCTTCGAGGTTGTTCCTAAGTGTATCTCTTTGAAAGTATTTGAAGGCTAGAAAAAATTTTCTCATCATTGAAGAGGAAGTAACCGCGTATTTACTTTTTATTTCTTTGAATAGGTTCCACATGCCGAAATAGAGAAACATTGTCTAGAAACAAAGCATCAAGAATGTTTACTCGTGTTTTTAAAAGAAAGACTTTTACACCTGCACCGTGGAATCACTAAATCAACTTCACAGAATAAAATTGATGAACGATATCAGCACATTTTAGCAGAATGCATATCAAGAATTGAGTCTACGGAGCGAAACGTTCATTCGACAAAGAGTGATCTAGATGAAGTCAATTCAAAGCGGCAAATGATTGAAGTAAAGCTTATGGAGAAACGTGAACAACTACTAAAACTCAATGAAACATCAGGGAAAAGTATAAGACTTTTTGAAAGCATCAATCAACTGCTCGTTCAAATAAATCAATTAATTAGTGATATTCAGTCCACATCAGTGAATGGTCCCAATGTAATGGATGCTGATGATACGTTTACATGGAAGATGAATCTTTTAGGTTTATTAAACAATGATTCCAGAACAATGCATTCTGATCCATTTCAATGTTCCCAGTGGGGCTATAGAATGAGAATCAGTATGACAGTACAGGTGGACCCACAAAGCTTAGGTCAATTTATCTTGATGTCTTTTGTCCTTTTACGGGGAGACTATGACGCCATTTTGCATTGGCCTTTTCCCTATCCAGTAACTCTGTGCCTACTTGATCTGGCAAAAGCTAAGCATCACTTGATTCATTCAATCCGACCTGATTCTCAAACAGCAATATTTGGCAGACCATTGAACAATGCAAACATGCCATATCATGTACCTCGGTTCTGTCCTCTTGATAAGCTAACCGGAAAAGGAAGTAATTATATACAAAATGACTATTCATTTGTCAAGGTTCACGTCGATTTTACTGGGACAGGTGCACATCCATTTCGATCCAAAGAATCCTAGAAGAGTATAATAAATTAGCATATTTGATACGTGTTCTAGATAAATAGGGTGTGGGGTGTACGTAAGTGAAGTTAGCACCAGATTCGAGTAAATCCTGGCAAGATTCGCCCAGGGACATATTCCAACTTTCCCAGGGTGTGTTCCAAGTACAACGCGATGAGCTCTATTGAATGGTGTATTCCGATTTCCGATAGCTCAAGCCAAGTCCAAGAAAATCACAAAAATACTAGATTTTCATCATGGGCGATTTTGCATCCACCTACTAAAACCCGCCAAGGTTCACCTAGGGTGGGGGTGTGGGTGTGGGTGTGGGTGGGTGTGGATGTGGCATGTGAGTGTGGGTGTGTGTGGGTGTGGATGTGGCATGTGAGTGTGGGTGTGTGTGGGTATGGGTGTGTGTGGGTGTAGGTGTGGCGTGTGGGTGTGGCGTGTGGGTGTGGGTATTGGTGTGGGTGTGTTTTACCTTTTATCACACACATTCATACCCACATCCACACCCTGGATCATCTGGAATATCTTCCAGGAAGACTCCTCACAAGTTTTACTATCCAGAATCAAAGATTCCTCTGCTGGGACGCTAGTAGTTTTGGATTTTCAGGAACGCAATTTCAGCTACACAAAAACTAAATGCACCATTGCATATAACTCATCGAGTTGCACTTAGCACATAAATGGAACAGCTGGAACATCATTCTGGAAGAATCTTGGCTGCTTTTATTGTCCACAAACATCGATTCCTGCGCTCACAAGCTAGAAATTTTGGATTCTCGGCAGCATAATTCGACCTACAGAAATTCTGAATGCATCATGAGATAGAACTCATCGAGTTACACTTTGAACATAAGTGGAACCACTGGAACGTCATCCTGGAAGAATCTCAGCTAGTTTTACTGTCCATAATCATCGATTACTTGACAAACACACTACCATTTTTAGATTTTCTCAGCCTAGTTTCAGCTATCGAGTATATGATTATACCATCGGATAGAACTCATCGAGTAGTACTCGTAATCTGATTGAACCATGTAGGACGTATTCCTGAAAGGGTGTTGGCTGTTTTCACTATCCAGAACCAAAGATTTTCTCTGCTGACACACCAGCATTTTCGCATTTTCACAGACGCATTTTGACACAGAGAGTATCGAAACACATCATTCGATAAAACTCTTTGAGTTGTACTTATAACACCAATGGAACATTTGGAACACGCTCATTGACGAATCTTGGCAAGTTTTACCATAGAGAATACCAAATTCTTGCACTGATCCAGCAATATTTTTAAATTTTCTACGACACGGTTCCAACTACGAAAAACCTGAATATATCATTCGATAGAGCTCATCGATTTGTACTTGGAACACCAGTAGAACATTTGGAACATGCTTCTGAGCGAATCTTGGCAGGTTTTACTGCATAAAATCCAGGATTTTTGTGGTGATACACTAGTATTATCAAATTTTCTCAGACTCAGTTTGTGTTATGGAACATCTGAACACGCCATTCGATAGAGCGCGTCAAGTTGTACTTGGAACACGAATAGAACATTTGGAATATGTTCCTAGGCGAATCGTAGCAGGTTTTAGTACTTGGATGCAAAATCGCCCATTGTGAAAATCTAATATTTTCTGATTTTCTTGGACTTGGTTTGAGCTATCGGGAATCGGAATACACCATTCAATAGAGCTCATCGCGTTGTACTTGGAACACACCCTGGGAAAGTTGGAATATGTCCCTGGGCGAATCTTGGCAGAATTTACTCGAATCTGGTGTTAACTTCACTTACGTCTGGGGTGTGGGATGTGAGGTGAGGGTGAGGGTGGGGGTGAGTTGTGAGTGTGGGTGTCGATCTTCAGTTCAATCACACTCACATCCTACAGCCACTCATACCCATACGTCACCCTTTTTTAAGAAAAACTAAAGCCAGATTCGGATTCTCTGCACTTTTTTCTACCTAATTACACTGAAAAAAATGCGAGCTTAAACTTTTCGCAATTGAAAAAATTTTTTGTTTTCGTCGAGAGATGGCTCCATTTTTTACTTTATTTTCACTTCCAACAGGCTAACTCGAGATAGCAGTGACGTAGACTGCTCAAAATTTTAGAACTGTAGGAAGACACCAAG